AAAAATTTTAAAAGTCATAATGTTTGAGTCAGGTTCGAAATTAGTTTTTAAGCAAAAATTTAAATTTATCATAAATCTTGGACTGAAGAAAACGTATCAACAATTACTCAATACATTATAAACGTAACTTTTCCGGAATGAACTTGTTGAAATTGTGACAATGATGATATTGGTCTAAATTTATGGATCATCATTTAGACGCAATCATTTTGATAAGTAAATTAATTAAGTAAAATGTTGAACTTTAACTCAGATAAGATATTAAAAACAAGTCAATATGTATGTATTAGATTAAAAGAACAATATTTTAGCCTCTGTCTAAGGCTAACCTAGTTAAGCCAGCAAACCTGATCAATCAAAATAATCTCGGTTAAATTTTTATTCTTTAGATATTCCTTCAATTCAACTAGTCATATTATGATTTTAAAAAATTTCTATGTTTAAACAATGAAAATCTTTGGTCATGTGTATCATGTGTACTAATGTTAAACATACTATTTAATAAATTTCAGATCATTAAAATCGATATTTGTATAAAATGCAGTACATTAGTGATTATATGCTTTTTTTTTTACAAAGTACTACCCTTGTAGAAGGATTATATGTTGTAGCTTTTTTTGAAGTGATCCCTTTATTATTATCAATAAATTTCAATGGGCTTATTATTCTGTCGCTATGATGTAGATTTTTACGGAGCAATCCCCAAAATTTCGTGCGAAATTCATTGTTGGGCTAGTATTTAGCCAATCAATTCGATAGTAAAAATTAGGTGAGTATTTTATTTAATGAATGGTGTTGTAACCGTGGGAGAGACTTGGCTAACATGAGGTCAAATTAGCTCAGGGTTACAAGCATAGGTTATACGAGATGAATGTTTATAAAGGATTCCGATTTTATAATAACAGGTTATTAAAGAAAGTAACTTGGTTGGTATACAATTCATAAGGTACTTTATTTGTTATTTTATTTATGACTCATGTCGAATTCTTCCTATTCTCTATTAGTTTGGCTGTTATATTTATACATTGCAAAATAGCCATGGTCGGAAAGGTCTCGAACCAAGACCTATGGTTCCAAACCAAGATTTATGGTCTCGAACCAATATCTGTGGTTCTAAACCATGCACACCATTCCATAACAATAGAGCTAACAAATATAGTAAAAAATACTATTACAATATAGAAATATAACAAAGAAAATCTAAACACAATTTTCGTAACAAAGGGCTATGGTTACACTAAAAATACAAATATGCGTGCAGAAAGACACGGAAATTTTCAAATTTACGTTTTTTTAATGTAATATTATAGGTAAATTAAATAACTAATCAAAAACGTAACTATTGATGTAACTTTTGTATCACTTTGATCAAGCATTAAATGTTCTCTGTCCTATTTCAGACGATTAAAGTTTGAATTTTTTTTTTAGAGCATGAATATATATATTTTTTTCATTTAAAAAATGGACTCTAAACAACTTCATACACTTGGTTACGATTATGAACATGGCATCGGTGTTAGTAAAGACGAAAAGAAGGCTTTTGAATATTATTTGAAAGCAGCGGATTTAGGAAATCCGGGTGCAATGAATGATGTTGACCTTTGTTATCTTTATGGAGTTGGAATAAAAAGAAATTACTATAAAGCATTTGAATATTGTAAGAGATCTGCTGATTTAGATCATGCTGCTGCAATGTGTAATGTTGGTGGTTGTTATGAAAATGGAATTGGGGTTGATCAAGATTTTAATAAAGCATTTGAATACTATAAAAAATCTGCTAATATAGGAATTGAAGCAGCAATGAGAAATGTTGCTAACTTTTATCGAAACGGTATCGGTACAAAGAGAGATATTCAGAAGGCAAATTATTGGTTCACAAAATATAGAAATCTTTTGAAAACTAATAAATCACCAGATCATATTAATCCTGAACTTAGGAAATTATTAGACGATGAGAGATTTAAATTATCTTGGATTAATTATAAATGAGTTCAGAAATATCGAGGAAATAGAATGGTTCGATAGAATTAATTATAGGTGGTGTAATTGTGCACTTAAGGTGGTTCGTGATTCAAACAAAACGAGCAAGAATTTATCCACGAGTTGAAGAATTATTGTGAAATTGGTTACAAGAATCCATCGTTCTTGGAATGTTTTGGAGTGTCAAAAAAAAAAAACCCATGGCGATTATATTATTGTTATGCAGAATGCACAAAAAGGATTATTACGGCAAAATCTTGTACAAGTATCACAATTGGAATGGAAAGATAAATTGAGTATCTTGTGCTGTGTAGCTTTGGATCTAGAGTCGATTCATTCTCAGGAACTTGTTCACAGAGATTTACACAGCGGAAATATTTTGCAAAGTCTTAATTTAAATAATGCATATATCACAGATCTTGGACTTTCTAAAAAAGTAAAGGAAGGAAAATTATGTGGAATTTTGCCATATATAGCACCTGAGGTTTTGGTGGGTCAATCATATACTCAAGCATCAGATATTTATAGTCTTGGAGTTATCGCGACGGAGATTTCTACCGGACAAAGAGCATTTGATGGAATTTCGTTTAATGGTGATCTTGTATCAAGAATTATCTCTGGATTAAGACCTAAATGTTTGGGTGAATTAATCTCACGTTTGTTAGATGAAATAGATCAGGAAGATGATAGTGAAGTCAAAAAACAAATTCTGGAATCTAATAAGATTAAACCAGAACCAATTAAGCAAATACATACACAAGACTTATATACCAGCAAGATATACGACACAAATAAATTTTCAGAATATAAAATGTGTTTATATAACATGTCTTAGGAAGATGCAGCTATAGTAATATTTCCTTCTACAATACAATATTTAATTCCATTATATTATACAGATAAATATTTTTCTTTTCACTTAATCTATATGGTTTAAATTATTTTTGTCATTTATTTTTGGTGCATTGTTTATTGGAGGTTAAAAATCAAGAAAATCAATTTTGAAATTAATATTTTCGGCAGATTAAAATATAAAAATGAACATAGCAAATTTTCTATCAAAATTGAATGTTGAAAAGCTATGATATATACATATTTTCAATTACAGCCCAATTTAAAGTCCTTATTTTTTTTTTGGAGAATTGGCTTTTGAATCCACACTTAACAGTTACCAGCCATATCAACCAATCCTTAAATACAACCCTATTTCAAGAAACAGTCAAAGTACTTCCTTCTATAATTATTAGGCGATACTCGGAGTTTTTGTATTGGCAAGAGTCAAACACAATTTTTGGCTTCAAAAAATTTTTGAAAAAGCGAAATGCGAAACTGGCGAAACTGACGAAAGTGGTAAAACCTGATAATCGAAAATGAGAGACGATAAAATTTAAAAATGTTCTAAATATTATTGTTATTTGCTATCAAAATTCAGCACCAAACTGGGCCATTAAAATTTGAAGACTCATTATAATAAATTCGTTAATAGTATTTGTTTGCATGTATAAGATCCGTAATCTTAATAAACGCGTTTAAATTAAAAAGATGAGATTGAAAATTATAATAACATGAAATGTCCGTAATTTGAATATTTTTTGCTAATGATAAAGTTTTAAAGTTTTTTTTTATAATACATCTGCTTACGATTACATTATTCGAATATCTGATCATGCCCAACAAAAATCTGGGTACATGAGCTGATTGAGTAATTTCTTAATCGACAAATGACTGACTCAACAGTAGGTCTATATGTACAATTTTTTAACCAAATCGGTTGAGCCGAGACTTTTGCAGCATAAATAAAAAAATTAAAATTCATAATGCTTGAGTCACGGTTTTTTAACCAATAATAACTCAAAATGCGCTGGAAATTTTTTAAAAAAACATCAAGTTGATTATTTTTTGCTGACGATAAAGTTTTAAAGTTTTTTTTTTTTTTTTTTAACTGATTGAGTAAATTTCTTAATGGCTAGCCGACTGATTCGATTAACAGTAGATCTACATGTACAAAATTTTAAAAATCAGAAATCAGTTTTTAAGCAAAAATTTAATTTATTATAAATCTTGGGCTGAAGAAAACGCATCAACAAAAACTTAAATACATTATAATCGTAACTTTTCTAGAATGAACTTGCTAAAAATTGTGACAAAGATGATATTGGTCTAAATTTTTTGATCTTCATTTTAGACGCAATTATTCGGATAAGTAGAGTGAATTAGTTAAGAAAATGTTGAATTTTAACTCAGATATGATATTAAAAATAAGTCACTATGAATGTGAATTTTATGCATTATATTAAAAGAACAACTAACGTGGCCAAGCCTCTGTCTAAGGCTAAACTAGTTAAGTCAGCAAACCTGATCAATCGAAATAATCTTTAGATAATCCTTCACTTCAACCAGTCCGCCTAAATGGAGTTACTGAAGAAGTTTGTGAGAATGAATATTATGATTTTAAAAAAGTTCTATGCTTTAAACAATGAAGTTTTTGGTTATGTGTATCATGTGTACTAATGTTAAACATATTATTTAATAATGTTCAGATTATTAAATCGATATTTGTATAAAATACAGTACATTAGTGATCATATTTATAAAGTACCAGTTTGCAAATATTATTCATTACTTTTATAAGTAGCTTTTTTTGAGATGATCCTTCTGTCATAATCAATAAATTTCAATAAGCTTATAATTCTATCGTTATGTGATGCAGATTTTTTCGGAGCAATTCCCGAAATCATGTGTGAAATTCATCGTTGGGTTGGTATTACAGTAGGCTACAATTTAACTCCCTCCAATCTTTCTTTGTTTGCATGTCATAGATCACTTCCAATAAAGTTTAAGATTAAACGTTAAACATCTAGTTTATTGGATGTGACCTTACTCGTGATTCGCCACATTTCCTTTTAGGCTAAAACGGAAAGGATTTTCATCAAAAATTTAATATTATATTATATCTTGATCTGATCTTGATCTTATATATATATAGCACAACGTTGCGTTGCGCAGATCTGATCTAGATCATGCCCCAAAAAATTTCAGAAGGAATCGAAGATGGTAATGCACTGACTGGTCTGCCGTCAAAAACAGTGGATAGATAAGATCAAATTAATGGTCATGATGAAAGACGAATTAAACAATTCATCAAAGACCAAAAATGCAGATGATCATGACCTTATTAAATTGGCGGTGTATGAGTACAAGTGACTATATATTAACTTTTATTAATTATATATTCCAATATTATTTATAGTTTTATAATTGTAATTAATATGCTTGCAACTATTGCAAAAGATTTTTTTTGAGTATGAAGTTGAGAACAATTAAAACATTATTATTAAGGGGAAATTTCCTGAAATTGCAAACATTTCTTTATAGTAAACGTTTAAACAAATAAATAATAATAGAATTAATATTTAACAATTCTTTCTTTATAGGTACTCGTATAAATATTTATTCAATGATCTGGTGTGGTGGTGGTGTCTATCTCTTTGGATTTGTAGTAGACACTTACATTCTCCCCACAAATCCTGAAACTGCATACCACCTTGAACATGCGTATGCTATCCTTGAAACATTGAAATCTAAGCTTTATTTAGCGTCTTTTTTTATTATGGAGATTGAGAGGTCTGTTGCCAAAAAAAGGCGCCGGACAATGACAGATATCTTAGGGGTTGAATTTGCTTTTTAATGTGTACGGAACAAAATATTAATAGATGAAGATGGTAAACAATCTAAATAGCTATCCAATCAATTTTTCTTGTAACGTATAATTAGAGATTTAGACATTCCAATAATGCATAAAGCTTATTATAAAGTTCTGAATTAAAAGGAAAATCATAAAGTTAGTATGATAATCAAATTATATTACATTTTATAAGTACGTATTAATACGTATGGCACAAGTGAAAACAAGGAAAAATGCATAATGCATACTTATTATATTCTGTTTATCACTTTAAATTGCATTTCTTTTTAATATTTTGTTCCTCAGGGTTAAAGTTAATTTTTCAAACTATTGATAAGTATTATGTTGCAAAAATAATTTTTAATAGTCGGATTACTAATTAAAGTTTCTACATGGAATGTCCTAAAATTTATTACAATTACAGAAGAGCCCATTACGGCACATTTCCAAATTTTGAAAAATTTGACTACCGTATGCAAGTCATTTAATTGACTTCATATATATCGATATGTAATCAATAGAATATTTGACTTAATGTGTCAACTTAGTCAACCCTTTTTCGTCCCTCAGACTTATTATTTTGATTTAAACAATGATATACGTAGTCAGATATATTCAAATTATATATTTAAAATGGGTTACCGAAATTTTACTGAAATTTAAAATGTGTTGTGAATGGATTAGACGCATTGTTATTATAGATTGAAGAGCTGACAATTTTTTTGGAGGACCATAAAGTAGTTAAATTTTACAAATCCGCCATAATGCTTACTCTTATGAATTTGCCGATGTCTGGATCAAAGTCTTCCACTCTACTTCTCTCTGCTCCAACTAAATTATCATCCATCACAATTATTCTCTATATTATTTTTAATTTTTTTTCATGTAGGTTATATAAAAATCGTCGTTCTCATATTTTTGAAAACAGTTATGACAATAAGAATTTGAGCATTTAAGAATAGGATGAAAATTTTGTCTTCTATGTAGATCAAACAAAGCATGGTCACTAATAAAATTTGATGTTAAGATGATATTTTATTTAGCTGAAAAAGTTCTAAGGTTTGTGAATTGTAAATGATTTATTATGTTTAGTTTAGGGCCTGATTTTTTTTTTGGGTCAGTTTTATTAGATTTGTCTTTTATAGTTTTACCGGTTTAATACCCCGATCATTATATCAAGATCACGGGGTATTATTATTATATAAAATACCGTATTTACCCAACATATGTACCCGGATATTTCCTAGTTCATTAATAAAATTTGGATTTGTTACACTAAAATACAAATATGCAACCATAATTAATGAACTAATCAAAAATGTAACTATTGTATCACTTTAATCAAATATTAAACGTTCTCCGTCCCACTTACAGACGATTAAAATTTGAATTTTATTTAGAGCATGAAATTTTTTTCCTTCTTTAAAAAAAAAAAGAACTCTAAACAACTTCGTGATCTTGGTTACAATTATCGAAATGGTATCGGTGTTGAGAAAGACGAAAAGAAAGCTTTTAAATATTATTTGCGAGCTGCTGATTTAGGAAATCCGGCTGCAATAAATGATGTAGGTGTTTGTTATCTTTATGGAATTGGAGTAGAAATAAATGACCAGAAAGCATTTGAATATTTTAAAAGATCTGCTGATTTGGATAATGTTTATGCAATATGTAATGTTGGTAGTTGTTATGAATATGGACGTGGGGTTGATCAAGATTATAATAAAGCATTTGAATTCTATGAAAAATCTGCTAATATGGGCTCTAAATCAGCAATGGGTAATTTTGCTAAATCTTATCGAAACGGTATCGGTACAAAGAGAGATATACAAAAGGCGAATTATTGGTATACAAAATATAGAAGTCATTTAAAAACTAAAAAATCACCAGATCATATCAATCCTGAACTTAAGAAAATATTAGACGATGAAAGATTTAAATTATCTTGGATAGATTATAGTGATTTTAGAGGTATCATGGAAAAAGGAAAAGGAGGATTTGCAACTGTATATTTTGCACGTTGGTTCGATAGAATTAATAGTACATGGTATAGCGGTGCACTTAAAGTGATTTGTGATTCAAACGAAAACGAGCAAGAATTTATCCACGAATTGAAGAATTATTGTGAAATTGGTTACGAGAATCCTTCATTCTTGAAATGTTTTGGAGTATCAAGAAATAATCATGGTGATTATATCATTGTTATGCAGAAAGCACCAAAAGGATCGTTACGACAAAATCTTGCACAAGTATCACAATTGGAATGGAGAGATAAATTGAATATTTTGTACTATATAGCTTTGGATCTTGAGTCAATTCATTCTCAAAGTCTCGTTCATAGAGATTTACACAGCGGAAATATTTTGCAACATGATTTGCAAAACGCATATATCACAGATCTTGGACTTTCTAAAAAAGTAAAAGAAGGAAAAATTTGTGGAATTCTGCCATATATAGCACCCGAGGTTTTGGTGGGTCAACCATATACTCAAGCATCAGATATTTATAGTCTTGGAATTATCGCGACGGAGATTTCGACCGGACAAAGAGCATTTGATGGAATTTCGTTTAATGGTGATCTTGTAACAAGAATTATCTCTGGATTAAGACCTAAATGTTTAGGACCAGATTGTTATGTTAAACTAGCTGTGAAATGTATGGATAAAAATATTGATAAACGGCCAACTGCAACAGAAATAATTGAAATGATCACAAGTTGGTTAGATGAAATGGATCAGGAAGATGATAATGAAATCAAAAAACAAATTCTCGAAGCTAATAAGATTAAACCAGAACAAATTAAGCAAATACACACACAAGACTTATATATCAGCAAGATATTTGATTCAAATAATTTTTAGAAAATATTATCAGTACATAGAAATCTCGTGCAAATTCTCAAATTTTGATTTTAATAAAATAAGTGTTTATATAACATGGTTTAGGAAGATGTAACTATAGTAATATTTCTTTTACAATACAATATCTAATTCCATTATACAGATAAATATTTTCTTTTCACTTAATCTATATGTTTTATCATTTATTTTGATCATTTGGTTATTGGAGATTAAAAATAAAGAAAATCAATTTTGAATTAAAATTTTCGGCATAAATGATTGGAATTACTAATATACTAAAAAACTAAATATAGCAAATTTTCATAAAAGCGCATTGAATATCGAAAAGCTATGATATCTGCGTATTCAAAAATAAATTGCATGTTCTTTTTTTTGGAAATTAACATCCGAATATACACCAACAGTACCAACCATACCAATCGATCCTTAAACATCAGAGTATTTCGAGAAATAGTCAAAGTACTTTCTACTATAATAATTAAGCAAAATCCAGTTTTGCATTGGTAAAAGTCGAAACTAAGTTTTGACTTTCGTCAAAAAAATTTTTAAAAAGTGAAATGTGAAAGTTAGAGGGGATAAAATTTAAAAAAGACTTTAAAGTGAAAATAAATACGAATATTATTTATTAACAAATTCGGCACCAAGCTGGTTATTCTAAAAGTTTTATTCTTTATAAAGTTTGAAAAATCGATATACTGTAAAAAATTTGTCAATAATATTTATTTGCATGATTAAGCTTCGTAATCTTTGCTATGTGCGGTTAATTTAAAAGATGAATTGAAAGTTTTAAGAATGAGATGGACGTCTGAAATTTAAATACTTTTTTGCTGACGATAAAGTTTTAGTCTTTCTTTTTTTTATAAATCTAGCTACTTATGATTATATTATTCGAATATCAGATCACGGCCAACATAATTTGAACTAATTGGGTGACAAAATCAATTTTTTAGATAAATCAGTTGAGCACGAGTCAGGTTCGAAGCCTGTTTTTTCAAAAGAAATTTATATAATTTTTATCATAAATCCTGGGACTAATTATATATTCTATTAAAATAACAATAGTTTACTAACGTGCGTTTAAGGCTGACCAGAAAACCTGATCAATCGAAATAATCTTGGTTAAACTGATTGTATACGGTTGAGATTGAGTTGCTCAGTAAAGTCACTAATTTTTGAAACTCTACTAATTTTTTTTATTTGTATTGATTTTGGTTTACAAAACAGACCCATTTATAAATCTATTTACAATCGAAACGAAATTCCTCATAACGAATTCCGGCTATGAAATTTGAATCTATGTATTTCTTCGTAAATACACTCACTATAAGTGATTTCTTTCTAAATACATACACTGCTTTTTTTTTTTTTTATTACTATGTGAAAGTCATATGTATCGATGCATTTTCATCCCAGCAATCCGAATATGCATATTCTTCTCTCAAAAATGGACATTCTCATCTCTACAGAATAAGATGTTATTTAAATTTTATTAAACATTAATAAAATAAAGTGCAAATAAATTCATATAAATATATAAATGACGTAACATACAAATCAATCTAAAATATAACGCTTCAATGGTAAAACTGTAATTTTTATGCAAATAATACTTTTTCCTTCTTCATGGTCATAACTTTAACTGAATTTATTAATTTTGGAAAGTTAAATCACCTAACTTGACTCTAATAGAATCGGAAATCGATTAAATGGCGGATTTCACTTTTTTCCTCGAATGCTATAAAATTGATTGTATCCTTAACGAGAGTATAATATTATCATCGTCAAAATTATAAATAGAAAAGTATGTCTAGATTAATCGTCATAAGTTTGTGATTTTTTAATTATTGGGTATTAATCCGGTACAGTAACTACAATAATTAAAGGTGATGAGTTTTTTATACCGATATACTACAATTAACGTAAATTATCAAACTTGACTTATGTGACTACAGTATTGACCTGGTCACTATTTCAACTCGGGCAACAATTCTAGTTTTGCCACGAAATTCTGAATGCCACTTTCCTGTAAGACGTATGGGCGAAAATTTCCAGTTTTCATAATTTTTTTATTATGCTAAAATTTTTAACCAATCATATGCAAGAATTGGAGTGACTACTGAGATTAAAAGTAATATTTTAATCTATCATCGTAAAATTTCTTATGAGTTACTTATCAGTTACTTATCAGTTTTTATATAGTTTACTTATGGGTCCTTAGATAATTTGCGAGCTCTTATCAGTTTTTATCAGTTACTCTATAAATTTTATAATCAGTACGTACATATGCATTTAGCAATTTAGACCATAACATTTAATTTTAATAATTAAAACGTTCCGACTGTAAATTTTCTCCATACGAACATAATACCGACCAAATTGGCCAGCATTATAGCAAATGTTAGCTAACTTTGTCGGCATTACGTCCTTTCGGAATCTATTTCGAGATTTCGTGGTAGAACCTAAAAAATTATTTAAAGATTAGTGTTATAAAATTCTTACATAAGCGTTTCAGAAGTTTGATGCTTTCTTATCAACTAAAATTTTTTATTCTCTAGATATTCTTTCACTTCAGCTAGTGGATGTGTGAGGATGAATATTATGAGTTTTTAAAAAAATTCTATGATTGAAATGATGAAGTTCTTTGGTTATATGTATGTATAATGTGTACTAATGTTAAACATATTATTTAATAAAGTTCATAACATTAAAATGTATGTTTATATAAAATGCAGTACCTTAATGTTTATATTTACGAAAAATCACTTTTGCATTATTATTCAAGTTAGAAGGATTAAGTTGTAGCTTTTTTGAGACGAACCCTTTGTCATTATCAATAAATTCAATAAGCTTATTATTTTATCGCTATGATGTAAATTTTTTACGGAGCAATTACAATATTTAGTACAAAATTTGTTGTTGGGCTGGTATCTTTTCGTGTGTAGGCTTTTCGCAGGCAAATTTGCCTGCGAAAAGTTCTACAATATTTTTTAAAAATAAAATTTTGAAAACTTACCAATATTTTTATAAGATATATTCTTCTAGACTTTATTTTTATTTTTAAGATATAAATTATAAAAATTAATTGTATTTTAAATAATTTATACTACTTTAAATTCATTAATTTACACAAAATATAAGTAAATATATTTATTTTTTAAATTTATTGATTATTTTTATTATATGCGATCCCCATATTATTATTGAACTTTTACTTTAAGATATATTAATCATAATATATTTAAAATAACTTTTAAAAATTTTTATTTAAAACTATATATATATATATATGTGCATGTACATACATATGACTACGTACAAATAATAAATGTAAATTCAAATATTAGCCCCAATACTAAATAAAATACCTATTTATTTTTCAACATGTATGATATTTTTTAAAGCATAAAGAATGGGATATGCCACAACAAAGATCTCTTCAGCTAAAAGATCTTCAAGTGTTTGTGAAATAAATAAAACTTCGTAAAGATCTGCCCACTCAGTGGGTAATTCTTCATCTTCTTGCATCATTACAAACTAAATATTAAAAATTTCTTAGAGATTAACTCAAAATTTTAAATTAACAGCCAATAACTAGTAATAAGTTTTACCTTTTTTATTTATTTATTAATTTATTTAAGAACGGCAGAATACTATCCTTCTACTGTTATTTTAAATAGTAAACAACTTGCTAAAGTTGTATTATTTATTTTGAATTAAGAAGATTCGTTTGTGATAAAAATATTTTTGACACAAAACTTAAAGTTGCATAATTCTTTAAACAATTGCAAATAATTTTCAGGTAAAAAAAAAAAAAAATCAATTCGAAAGTTTTTTTTTTTTAAACATTTTTTTTTCTTAAAAAAAACCCCCGATCTGGAAGTCATTCTTTTTAAAAAAACATAAAATAAGCCAACTTTTAGTGTGAGAATAAATAAGAGCAATTAACATCCAATAATAAAAGTCACTAAACTTTATTGGGGTTTGATCAACGATGTGTGGCGCAGCAATACCTGATTAGTACATTTTTCTGGTATCACAATTTACACAATCGGCATTTTGCCATTATGTTATTCAAGTCTAGAGGTATCTCTTAGGGAGACCTCTCCCATCTCATTTTTTGGCAATTACATTAAAATTGAATTTTGCAGGCAAATTTGCCTGCAAAACGTATTAAGAGATAAGCAATATTAGCCAATCAAGTCGATAGTAAAAATTGTTGAGTTATTTTATTTAATTAATTAGCTACGATTTCATTAATAAAATTTGGATTAGTTACACTAAAATACAAATATGCATGCAGACAAACGCGGAAAATTTTCAAATTTACGTTTTTTTGATGCAATAATGTAGGTCAATTAATGAACTACTCAAAAACGTAACTATCGATGTAACCATTGTACCACTTTGAATAAACATTAAATGTCCTCTGCTACGCTCCGGACAATTATTTCCCTTAAAAAACTAATGGACTCTGAACAACTTCGTACACTTGGTTACAATTATCAACATGGTATCGGTGTTGAGAAAGACGAAAAGAAGGCTTTTGAATATTATTTGAAAGCAGCTGATTTAGGGAATCCGGTTGCGATGAATAATGTTGGTATTTGTTACCATTATAGGATTGGAGTAGAAAGAAATTTGCAGAAAGCATTTGAATATTATAAGAGATCCGCTGACTTGGATGAAGCTGGTGCAATGTGTAATGTTGGTCATTGTTATGAAAATGGATATGGGGTTGATCGAGATTATAATAAAGCATTTGAATACTATAAAAAATCCGCCAATATGGGTAGTCAAGCGGCAATGAGAAATGTTGCACTATATTATCGAAACGGTATCAGTACAAAGAGAGATATTCAGAGTGCAAATTATTGGTATACAAAGTATAGAAGTCTTTTGAAAACTAATAAATCACCAGATAATATCAATCCTGAACTTAAGGAAATATTAGACGATGAGAGATTTAAATTATCTTGGATTAATTACAATGAGTTCAGAAATATCATGGAAACGGGAAAGGGGGGATTTTCAACTGTATATTATGCACGTTGGTACGATAGAATTAATAATTTGTGGCAAAATGGTGCACTTAAAGTGATACATAATTCAAACGAAAACGAGCAAGAATTTATCCATGAATTAAAGAATTATTGTGAAATTGGTTACGAAAATCCATCGTTCTTGGAATGTTTTGGAGTATCAAGAAATGATTGTGGTGATTATATTATTGTTATGCATAATGCACTAAAAGGATCGTTACGACAAAATCTTATACAAGTATCACAATTGGAATGGAAAGATAAATTTAATATTTTGTATTATATAGCTTTAGATCTTGAGTCGATTCATTCACAGGAACTCGTTCACAGAGATTTACACAGCGGAAATATTTTGCAACGTGATTTGCAAAACGCATATATCACAGATCTTGGACTTTCTAAAAAAGTAAAGGAAGGAAAGATTTGTGGAATTCTGCCATATATTGCACCTGAGGTTTTGGTGGGTCAACCATACACTCAAGCATCAGATATTTACAGTCTTGGAGTTATTGCGACAGAGATTTCGACTGGGCAAAGAGCATTTGATGGAATTCCATTTAATGGTGATCTTGTATCAAGAATTGTCGATGGATCAAGACCTAAATGTTTAGGACCAGATTTTTATGTTAAATTAGTTATGAGATGTATGGATAAAGATATTGATAAACGACCCACTGCAAAAGAAATTCTTGAAATAGTCACTCATTGGTTAGAAGAAATGGAACAAGAAGATGATAGTGAAATCAAAAAACAAATTTTGGAAGCTAATGAGATTAAACAAGAACCGATTGAACAAATCCATTCTCAAGACGTATATACAAGTAAGATCTATGATTCGAAGAATATTTTAGAATATATTAGTAAACAGATTAGTACTGTGGAATATTAAATTATATAAAAATATGTTTATGTAACGTGTACTTAGGAAGATGTTATTACATTAATTTTTTCATTGTTATTAAAATTTTCTACAATATCTAATCCTTATATTGCAAAATAAATATTTATTTTCACTTAACTATAAATTTTAGATTAATATTCTCAATATTTTTGTTTAATGGTTTGTTCTTTGAGTAAGTGTCCTCTTAAAATCATTTTTGCATCGAAGAGAATTGTGTTTAAAAAAATAAATTTTTAAAAGACAATGACTATGCACAAGTTTTTTTGGTTATACAGGTTAACTATTCAAAGTCCATTTTTCTGAAATACTAAATCACCGAAGCCACAATACTAACAATTCATTTACTCCGTTTTATTGACAAGACATAATTTTGATATCTCATTTCTACGAAAATATCATTTAATCAATATCAAAGTTTCTCGATAAGTTATTTGACTGCAACTACTATTTCTCTGAACATTAAAAACTGGAGACTATTATTATACTTCATGTTAATGAATTAGATTGCAGAAAAAAAAGCATTGGTGAAAATTTCTATCGGCTGAATGGGCTGTCAGAGTTATGTATTATCTAAAGATAAGGTTGTTAAATATTATGGGGTCTATTTCGGGAAGGTTAGCTTCGGTAAATTTTTCGTAGTTTTTGTAAGAAAACTAATCTTTGTGCTGAACAACTTTATCTGCATTTTTGAAGATCCGGTTTTAAAGATAATTGTTACTAGTTATTTATTACATGAAAATATTTTAACAACAGTTTTTTTTTTAGAAATTTAGCTAGAATAATTTTTTTTTGAAAAAAAATCGAATTGACTAAGCAAAATAAAATGACTATAAAAATATAAACTTTGGCCCTAAAAATAGATGAGGATTACAAATATGCAAATAACATGAAATTTCATAATAGCTGCCTTTTTAACCTTGTACCAAATTTAATATCAGAAGCTATTATGTTTACGTATTTATTTACAGGCTAAAAGTAAGTTAAAAGTCTTTTTTTTAGTAAAAATTAACATCCGAATCCACTCTTAACAGGCCTTTAACAGTAATCAACAAATCCTAAAATTCTTCTACGGTTGAGCATAGTTATTTTACTTGTTTTTTATTTTATAAGAAAACTAGCGCTTCTATTGATTTTTACATGCGCTTTGTTTACGACTTTTCAGCACCGCTTAAAACTTTGTAAGCTGGTTATAAAAAAAACTAAAAATATATATATGCCATGTGCGGTGTGAATAATAAATTATAAAAATACATAACAAGGTTATAAAAATATTAAATACATCATAGTCTGTATCAAATAATTTTGGTTTAAAAAAACACAGAGGTTAATTTCATCTCTTTTATACAATCCATTATAGTTATCAAGTTACTTATACCATTTAATCTCATCTTTTGATTCTTTTGTTTAACTGCGCCTTCCAATTCTTGAAAATGGAATTTCATTTTCATTACAATATTCCGCAAGATTTGAACCACATAAATTCTCTTGTTATATTATTTTTATAATAGAATTTATTTAATTTTCATCGGTCTAAGAATTTTTAGAGTTAGGGTGCAGTTTTAAGATAAAAGGGTACATATACAACATAATGTAGATTAGATATAGGGTCCCGAATCGGTCCTCGTGAGGTTTTCAGGTGTCCCGAGTAAAATTTTCCTTTAAATTATATAAAATTTAAATTATTTAAAATATGTAATGTGCTCTTATTAAGATGCAACTGTAGCAATTTTTTTAGTTATTTAAATTCTACATAATTTAACCCTTATATTACAGAAATAAATAAATTAATCATTTCACTTAATTATAAATTTAGATTTTTTATTCTTTTTTTAGTAGTTTGTTCTTTGGGATAAGAATTTTAAAATCAATTTATCTTTTTTTGCATCGAAGTTCTGTTACAAACCTTCTTTAAAATCTGTATTCTTGATATACTGTAGAGAACTGTGTTTTAAAAAGATAAATTTTTAAAAGACAATGACTATGCTCAAGTTTTTTGGGTTACAGGTTAACTATTTGAAGTCCATTTTTTAGAAATACCAAGTCACCAAAGCCACACTACTGACAATTCATTTACTCCATTTTACTGACAAGGCATAATTTTGATAACTCATTTCTCTGAAAATATTATACAATCATTAAAAACTGGTGACAATTATTATATTTCATGTAGAAGAATCAAATTCTCGTGAAAAAAAAAGCATTGGTGAACACTTCTACTGACTAATGTGCTGTCAGAATTATTTTTTATTTGAAGATAAGATTTTTGAGTATTATGGGAGCATCAATAAATTTTTTGGTAACTTTGTAAGAAAAGGTAGGTAATTTAAGTTTTACAAAGGTACTAATTGTGGCCAATGCTGGTCCTCTCAATACTGATACAAAGTACCACGCACATCGATTTTGATAGGTTTGGCTGTAGTTATATTTAAAGCTTTTAAATAATCAACTTCACATATCCAAAGTTTAAGTCTTTTAACTTCATTAGTTTTTCGAACCAAAAGAAAATTAGATGAAATAATACAAAACTTTTCTGGTAAATTTTAGTCTGTTTTAGATGTTGCTTTTTTTTTTAAAGCGTCACATCAATCTTATTATATATCCTTATATTGGCTTGACTGATTTTATGAATGTATCTGATTTGGGATTTATACACCTTATAGGAGATAAGAGATTAGCTTTAAACGATGAATTTTCATTTTTATCAATTTCTAGTTATTGAAAGTGGCATATTTTATTTCAGTCTTACTTTCTGATCCTTGACGGGTACAATAATAACGATGGAATTTCAACCTTAAAAGGTATATAATGTTATGATTGTTGTCAAATTTTATAGCAATTAATAATATTTTATACATATATATTTGGAGAATTTAGTCGAATTATATTTGAATCGAACCTTAATTACGGAAGCCGACGTTTATCTAGAATGCATTGTATTCATAATACATTATCTCACAAATATTTAGTGCTAAGCAAAAAAGTCATTAATATCCAGACAAAAATTTTTAAATAAATATGTATCAAGAATGTAACATTGACTACAATCCTCAAATCTACATTTGCCGATAGAAATTAAATATCTGACATTTGATATACGCGCTTTACTGATATAGAAGCAAAAGAGTTAAAAGGTGAATATTTTTCTACGCAATTATGATATATATTAATTGATATTATTTTTATATAGGCTTACCGCACTTATCTTTCCTAAATTTAGGTTTAATTCAAGATGTCATAATATTTTAATTGGTAAGAAAGTATCGAACTTATGTAAAATTTTATTAAACTGAAATTTATTCTATAGATATTCCTTCATTTCAACCATTTACCATAATGAAATTACAAAGAAATTTGTTAGGATGAATATTATGATTTTTTAAGTTGAATATCTTACTAAATGAAATAAGCCATTATGGCGGATTTTTGGAATTTGACCTTTTTAAATTCTTTAATTTAAACCCTTAAAGTTAATTAAATTTAGGGAATTTAAAAAAGGTTAAATTCCAAATCCGCCGTAATACGTACGTACGTACGTAAATTTTGGATTTGTTACCAAATATGCATGCAGGCATATACAGAAAATTTTCAAATATACATTTTTTGATGCGTAAATTTAAATCAACTTATAAACTAATCAAAAATGTAACTATTGATGTAACTTTTGTATCACTTTAATTAAACATTAAATGTCCTCCGCTACACTCCGGACAATTAAACTTGTATTTAGTCCATTAATTCTTTTTCCTTTTGAAATAAAAAAACCAATGGGCTTTAAACAACTTCGTACACTTGGTTACAATTATCAACATGATATCGGTGTTAATAAAGATGAAAAGAAGGCTTTTGAATATCATTTGAAAGCAGCTAATTTAGGAAATCCGGTTGCAATGAATGATGTTGGTCTTTGTTATTACCATGAAATTGGAGTAGAATTAGATTACCAGAAAGCATTTGAATATTATAAGAGATCTGCTGATTTAGATAATGCGTATGCAATATGTAATGTTGGTGGTTGTTATGAAGAAGGATTAGGGGTTTATAAAGATTATAATAAAGCAATTGAATACTATAAAAAATCTGCTAATATGGATATTTCGGGAGCTATGAAAAATGTTGCTATATTTTATCGAAATGGTATGGGTACAAAGAAAGATATACAGAAGGCAAATTATTGGTATACAAAGCATAGAAGTCTTTTGAAAGCAAATAAATCACCAGATAATATCAATCCTGAACTTAAGAAAATATTAAACGATGAGAGATTTAAATTATCTTGGATTAATTATTATGAGTTTAGAGATATCGATGAATTAGGAAAATTAGGATTTTCAACTGTATATTATGCAAAATGGTTCGATAGAATTAATAATATATGGAATAGTGATTCATAATTCAAACGAAAACGAGCAAGAATTTATCTACGAATTAAAGAATTATTGTGAATTGGTTACGAGAATCCTTCGTTCTTGGAATGCATTGGAGTATCAAGAAATGATAATGGTGACTACATTATTGTTATGGAATATGCATTAAAAGGAACGTTACGACAAAATCTTGTACAAGTATTACAACTGGAATGGAAAGATAAATTGAATATCTTGTACTGTATAGCTTCGGATCTGGAGTCTATTCATTCGCAAGAACTTGTTCACAGAGATTTACACAGTGGAAATATTTTGCAAGATAATTTGCATAGCGCATATATAAGCAACCATATGAAATATTTCTGAAAATGCAGCTTTTAATGAATTACTTGCTAGAGAACAAATTAGAATTGAACATGTGAATGGAATTTGGAAAGGAAGATTTGGTTGTTTAAATGGAATAAGAACTCAAATTTCATCTGAAAAAAATTTAAAATTTGTTTTAGATATTATAAAAGCAACAGTTATTCTTTATAATATATCATTAAAAAATATGGATATATGGAATGAAAATTTAAATGAAATTGAGATTGAATCAAGTTCAATATTTGATAGTTTAAATAATGAAGATAATAAATTAGGAAAAAAAAAGAAAATGTATTCAAAACTTAGTTCTTCAACAAAATAATTATTTTAAATAATATTAATTATAAATTTATTAAATATTTATATTATAAATATATAATCTTTAAAAGCAGCAATAAAGAATTATTACAAATTGTTAAAAAAATTTAACATTTTTTTAATTTCTAATAAAGATTTATTTTGGTGTATAAGTTCTATAATAATATTATTCTGTTGTTGTTTATTATCTTTTATATTTTCCTTTTCAACTTTTTCTTTTTTCCATTCAAGCTTTTCTTTTTCAATACTTAATTTTTGTTCTGCAATTTCTTTTTCAGCCTTAATTCATTCTTGCTCAACCTGAAGACTTTTTAATTTTGCATTAAAATAAATATCTTTTGCTGAAGCTTTAGTATAATTTTGTTCTTTAGTATTTAATAAATGTTGTTATTTTGTTAAACTACTATTTGCATTATCAGAAATATTATCTGATTCGAGAGAATGCTTGTTATTATTAATACTTGAAATAAATTCATCTAATTTTATATACACATTAAAATATTAAAATTATCATTTAATAATTAATAATTAAATAAATATATATATAATTATTATATTATTACTATTAAATAAATTATCTTCATTATTAATATTGAATCATCATTTAAATTACAATTATTACTTTCTTCTAAATATAATTTATTAGTTATATATTATTTTAAAATATGTTTATTAATAATAAAAATTTATATAACAAATACCTTTTTCAGAATCACTATCTAAATTAAACTCATTTAATATAAATAATAATAAAGTTTTTTGTACTTCATATATCATTTTTAATAATAAATATAAAATATTAATTATCATATATTTAAAAAAAACACTAATTGATAATTGATAATAAATATGCAATATATGTATATAATTTATACTATTTTTTGTACTATCTACACTATTTTCAATACTGTTTACATTATCAGTACTATTTTCTACATCATCTATATTATTCTTTATACTATTTCCTATACCATCTAAATCATTTTCTGTTTCATTTTCATTTTGATTTTGATCTTGACAATGTTCTGTAAAAATTAATATATATTAATATTTATAATCTGATTTTAAATTATTATTATTCTGTAAATTTAAAGTTATATTATATTTACTATCAAATATTTCATTACGATCTTCATTATCTAAGCTGAAATTTTCAAGAAAAGTAGGTTGCACATTTTGTTTATCACCATATAGAATATTAATTCTTCCATAATATGGACACAACTCTTCTAATTTAGCTTTAATAATATTGATTCCATTTGCATGATCTTGTTTAGTTAGGCCCCAACCAGATTTTTCAGTTAGTCTATGAGTATCCATATATAATTTTTTGTAAGTTGTCTATCAGCCATTTGCTGTTTTGACTATCCTTGCACTATTTATTTACAAATAAAGCCATTTGTATGTAGTCTGCATTTTTTGTTACAGATTTACCACTTATGGATATTCCAGTTGCCGCTTTTCTATTAATAATATTTCGATTTGTAGAATTTTTCATAAACATGACCATCGCAAGTTTTTGTTCTTTGCTAGTTTGTTTAAAGGTTCTTTTTGGTGGCATATTGATATTAATTTATTGAGTAATTAATAGGTTTAAAATATTTATTAAATAAATTACTTGAAAAAATTTTAAGCGAAGATTTTATAATTCTTTTAAATATCTAATATAAATATCGATCAAATCATATAATAACACATAAAAAAATTTTTAACTATCTGATATAAATATTGATTAAATTATAAAATAATACATAAAAAAAAGTTTGCTTATTTTATCTCTGAATAATCTTATTTTAATATCTTATTTCAGAATTTCAAATCAGAAATACGACCTTTTGAACTCCCACTTATTTCAAAAAAAAATCAATTCTGAAACCCCTAATGCAGCAAATAAAAATAAACTAAAAATAACTAAAATAAAATACTGGACTAGATAGTGCACCCTGCACTTTGTTCTCTTACTATAAAAATTGCCAATATCAAAATTTTACTAGGCAACTCTGTCCTCTCATAAAAAAACACTAACCCTAACCTGAATATTAGTCTTTGTCTTTGTTTACTATCAAAACTTAAGAGGGCACAATGTGCATGGAGCACCAATTAGATTTTTTCTAAAATAAAAATAAAATAAAATAAATAATATATAAATAAATAAATATATATATATATAATAAATAAATAAATAAAAATGTAAAAAAAAAATAATAAAAGGATAAAAATAAATTTTAATATATTAAACTTTGCAAACTTTTTGATTGCAAAGGTGAATACATATAAAGGAAAGCTCCCAAATTAATGGGTTAAAGTATGTCAAAAATGTGTTGGAAATTAAATTTTAATTAAAATATTTTTAATCAATCTTGTCATTAAAATAAATAAGGTAATTTATTATGTGAAAGAATAATTTTAAATAGTTATCATTTCACCAAAATATATTCTTGTCAAAACTTTATAAATATTAAAGTTAATAAAGTATTGATCAAGTGTTTTCATACTTTTTATTATGATTTTATAAGCGCACACATTTTTTGTAAAATTTTTGATAAGCTATTTAAAATCATCTCAAGCTGGATTGAAATCTTTATTTTGTTTATCATTGCAATTGAGCATAATTAGAAACCTACAGTAATAATAATATTTGAGCATATCTAAATAATAATATCATTCACATTTATTGATTTTTATCCAAAATGTTGACAACAGCTAAAAATTATATTATAATACTTGTGCACTATTTCGATCACTATAAATTTGCATCTAGTTGATACTTGAGAACACCCAAAATCTTATCCCTTAAATTGTAACACAGGCAAATTTGCCTGTGAAGATTTTTACTAATTTTTTTAATATTTAAATTTTTTAAT